TAGTGATGCAAAATGCCAATGATGACAAGTATGAGTTTGAAGTTCTTTTCATTCTTGAAATTGCCCAAAATCTACTAAGTGTAGGGCGATTACTTAAGTAGAATTATGTTCTGTTTTGTAAGGACTTCTCATGCACTATTTATGCTCCTAATGGTAGTTACATGATGAATATACCTATGGAACAAAATTGTTTTCCTATAAATTGGAATAATACATGCATACAGGTGTCTAAGCTTTATTCAAATATAACTTTTTTGTGGCACAAATGATTAAGCCACTGCAATATTACATCTTTGATATAGTCCAGTTCAGCAAGTTTATTGGAAAATCTGCTTTCAATAGCTAACATTGATCAAGTGTGTGGGACTTGTCAGTTTGGAAAAATAACAAGGAAGCCCTACTATTTTATGCGTTCAAGTAAAGCTAAAAAGAAACTTGAAATGGTCTACACGGATGTGGGAGGTCCTTTAAGAAAAGCCTCTTTAAATGGGAGTGAATTTTTTTTATTTTCATTAATGATCTAACTAGGATGTGTTGGATTTATTTCATGAAGTTGAAATTAGAAATCTTTAATCATTTTATGAGTTTCAAAGCCAAAGTGGAGATAGAAACAAGGAGAAGAATTCAAGCTCTTAGGTTTGATAATGGTGGAAAGTTTACATAATTGAAGTTCACTCATTTGGTGGAAAAAGAAAGAATGCATTACTAACTCACTACTTTATATTGTCCACAACAGAATGGAGTTAGTGAGTGCAAAAACAAGTTGATAATTAAGATGACAAGATGCTTTTTGATAGAAAAAAATTTTCCCAAAAGATCTTAGGCTGAGGCAGTAAGGATAGCAGTTTATTTGCAAAAAATTATTCCTTCACAACCCTTGAAAAACTCAACTCCATATGAGCATTAGTTGGGATGAAACCTTTTATGAATCATTTCAAAATGTTTGGTTGCTTTTGTTACTAACACAAACCAAAAGAGCAGGGAGATAAATTGCAATCAAAGGCACTAAAAGGCATTTTTATTAGGTATAGTCAACAGTCGAAAGCTTATAGAATTTATTAGCTTAACTCAGGCAAAGTTGCTATTAGCAGAAATGTGGTATTTGGTGAAAATGATATATGGAATTGAGAACAGCAGTAGATAATGAACACTACACCTCCAATGTATAACACTAAAAGTTAGAATATTGATGATGATGAGCTTGATGTAGATTAAACCATAGATAAAGCTCGTATAAGAAGGACAAATTCCACTCAAGATATTTATGACAGATTTCACATTGCTTTGTTTGAACTTGCCTCATTGATGAAGCTTCGAAGCATGTTGAATGGAATCCTGCCATGAAAGAAGAAATTAAGATGATTGAGCAGAATAACACTTGGTCTTTGTTAGACAAACCTTAACATCGCTAAATGATTGGTGTGAAGTGGATTTTTAAAATAAACTTCAATGCAGATGACTCATTGAACAGATGTAAGGCAAGACTGGTAACCTAGGGATATGCATAACTAGCTAATGTCAATTATTAAGAAACTTTTGCTCCTGTACCAAGGCTCGACATAATCAGGTTGTTGATTAGTCTTGAAGTAGCTAAGAATTGGAGAATTTATCATTTGGATGTCAAGTCTGCCTTTCTAAATGGCAGACTTGTAGAAGAAATCTAAATGGAACAACCGATGGGATTTGAGATAGAATTTGGAAGAGATAAGGTTTATAAGCTCCACAAGGCATTATATGGCTTAAAACAAGCACCACAAGCTTGGTATAGTAAGATTGATACCTACTTGAATGATCAGGGATTCTGTAAAAGTGTCAATGAGGCTACAGTTTATACTTTGAAGAAAAGCAATGATACACCTTTAATTGTCTCACTCTATATGGACGATTTACTAATAATAAGAGGCAGTGCAGACAATGTTAATAAGTTTAAATCTCAAATGCAAAGAGAGTTCAAAATGTCAGATTTAGGAATGATGAACTTTTTCCTAGGATTGGAATTACTTCAAACCAGCACTAGTATTCATTTGTCTCACTAGTGATACATTCTTGATGTGCTCAGGAAGTTTAAAATGAAATATTGCAAAGCTATCACAACTCCTCCCATTGTCAATGAAAAACTATTTGTGAATGCTAGAGATAAGCTTGAAAATCCGAGTTGATATAGAAGCCTCATAGGAAGTCTCCTCTACATATATGTCACACGCCCTAAAATTATGTTTGTAGTCAGTTATCTTTCACGGTTTATGCAGTAACCAAGTGAAAGTCATTTTACAATTGCCAAAAGAGTTCTTAGGTATCTAAAAGGCACTCCAACTCAAGACATTTATTTTTCTCATGGAAATCACATTGAACTCACTACATTTTCTGATAGTGATTGGGGTGGTAGTTCTGATGATGGAAAAAGTACATCAAGATATGTGTTTACCCTTGGAAATGGCACCTTTTCATAGAATTCACATAAACAAGAGACTGTAGCTCAATCCACAGCAGAAGCTGAGTATATTGCAACAGCTTTTGCAACAAACCAAGCCATATGGTTAAGGAAAGTATTGTTCAATCTTGGTATGTCACTTGTTAATGCAACTAAATTATTTGTAGATAACAAGTCTACTATCTCCATGACAAAGAACCCAGTATTTCACGGTAGAACTAAGCATATAAATGTGTAGTATCATGCATTGAGAGATGTAGAAAAATGAGGTGAGATTCTGGTTCAATATTGCAGCATAGAAAATCAAATTACAGCTGTGATGACAAAGCCTTTATGCAAGCCAAAGTTTGAGCTTAACAGAGATAGGTTGATAGTGCTACCTACAAGCATTAAGAGTGTTGTTATAATGCTTGTATGATGTTTTGAAGATGAATCACATGTGTCATGGTTGACTTCTAGATTGAATTTTGGAGATGTATTTGCATGGATGGGGTGGCATATTACGTGTAATTTTACATGCTCTTTAACCTTTCATAGTTAACACTTGTAATCTCTATATGAACAAGTATAATTTATGTAATCTCAACCCCTATCAAAGTATTTGTATATAACATGCTAATGAATGTAGAAAGATGATGAGGAAGTTTAGTTTGAAAAAACTTTTGTTCATTCGTGTTTTTGAACCATTTAACAAAGGTACTTTACAGCTACCTCATACTTATTTCTTACTTTTGATATGTAACAGTTCTCTGTGAGTTTTCCTACCAACGTTTCTATTCCTCTCTTGCCTAGCCACGTCGACTCTGGTGTATTTACCATCAAATCTTTTGTTATTTCCTTTTTCCCATAGCTTTGACTTTTCTTTGAATCTAAAGATCGAATTTGGGCTTTCTCATAGTATTCTTCTCAACACTATTAGCCACATAGATGTCCATCACAAACCCATACTCACCAAACATTTCCTTTGGCGCCACCCTTGCAACCCATAGGCTCAAATTTTCAAAGAACATCGAATACAGATTATCCCTCCACTTGTCCAGACTCTCGGTCACTCTATACCACTATCATGGCTTTTCAAGGTTTCAAAATCCAATTGTCAATTAATATCAATTTGACAAATTAAGGAGAATCAAACAAGTATCCTTTTTATTTCTTACATATTCTATCTTTAATTTCTTTATTTTTTTCTTTTTTCTAAATTACTTATTCTGATAAATTTTTGGAACAATAGTTCACCACTTAATCAATGCAAATTATTAAGTGAAATAATCGATTATAATGATAAACTTTGTAAATCAATTGAACTAATTACTCAAATAAATGGAAAATAATCAGTAATTACTATGTAAGTACTAGTTCAATCGATTATTAAACAAAATAACGGCTCAGTACTTTTTTGTATTATAAATTTGTAATTGTTATTAAAAATTTATATGCTTTTTATATGATGAAGTTAAAACTGAATGAAAATATTTATTAATTAATTTATACATATAATTTATGTAAATATTAAAATTTATTTTATTTAGTAATTTCTATTTCAATGTAAAAAATATTTACATTTATAATTTTATTAACATTTTCACTTTCCACTTCACAAAATTTTTGGCATAAAATCTAAAAAAAAACCCATGAGTTATTTAAAAAAATTTGAATAAGCTCTTTTTCTTTTATTGTGTTCAATCAAATCCTTATATTTTTATTTTGAGCTAAATAAGTTTTTAAAATTAATGATTGACTAACTGCTACTAATTAAAATGTCATTTTATGTGATGTGACATTAGCATGGTAAACTACTATGTCATAATGAATGATGGTGTAAAATTTTGATATTATATGATGATATGGTCATATAATATTTTTCATCTCTACAGCAGTATCATGTGAGTATAAAATGACAAGTGATATTTTTTTTTGAAAAGTTGACGAGTGATATTTTGACTAATAATAATTAGTCAATTGTTAGTCATAAAAACTTATTTGACTCAAAATAAAAATAAAAGAGTTTAATTGAACACAAAAAAAAAGAATAAAGACTTATTTAAGTTTTTTTAAATAGTATAGAAACTTTTTCATGCATTATATCAAAATTTTTCTCATATCACAATATCATGCAATATTTGAAGCTTGTTTGGTTTAATAATTATAATAACACAAAACTTTGTATCAAATTTCAGGTGATGATTATGAAATATGAAAGGAACTAGCTAGATAGAGTTGTATGTGTTACGGGGTTCTTGATCCGATATTCACCAAATAATACTAATTATACTTAATCAAGTAAAACTCAGCAACTAAGTGAAACATGTCCAAATGTGATGCTTAAAAGGAAACAGATAAATAAAAAATTTTAAAGAGAGAAACTTTTATTTACATTCACTGGAACGAAGATAAGGTTGGAAGAAGAAATTAAACTATGTATGGAAAAAGTAATTACAATTCCTCCAAATTAAACATCCCTGCCACTGTTTTACTTTTGTTGAAAAAGATGCTACAAAAGCACAAAACGGAATTAATTATTTTGCCCTACAGAAGTATGGGAAATTTAATGGACATCGAAATGGTTTATTTAACCAGTGTATCGATAGCAATGTGTGATGACACTGCACCCTCTGTTGTAAGGATTAGCCCGCCCAGGGGCGCCACAGTTGTAGTAGGAATTGCCCCGACGATTGCATGGAACGCTGTTCCGCTTGAGGGCACCGTAGCTAATGTACCTTTTCCCTTCAGCCAATGCCCTACGGCTTATCGCCCATTCCATGGCCGTTTCTTCCTCATTGCCTATGCACTCACTCAAGGGGCCACGACATGTTTGCCTTGCACCCACACTTCCATCGCGGACAGTGCTCGAGAACATGGTTCGACCCCAATGTGTGCTGCCGTAGGATAATGACTCGGCCGATATGGCCAGAGAAATGATGAGGAGAGCAAAAGGAAGCCCAAAATTCATCAGAGAAAATATTTAGCCAAAGAAGAAATGGCTGATAGTTTGGTTTTTGGTGACAAAATATGGGAGGGGTATTTGGTCCTCAGCTATGCTAGCTTTATGTGATTTAACTTGTTTTACGCTTAGCTTAACGTTTGTTGGGGGATGCCCGCTTCTTGCTCCTTCAATGTTGGCCTGAAATAACTATACTAATTCTAGTAGCCTATATCGTAGCCTCTTGCTAGGATCTTGATCGTAGCCAAATTGACAAGAAAGACTTGGACCGCGGGATCACCAAATCTAGTTAGCTATATTGTATCATCTAAATTGGACTGCAACTAGTTCGAAAAACCTATATATATCAAGATTTTTTTACAAATATAAAAGAAAGATACATGCAAAAATTACTATTCAAATTAAAATTATTTGGGATTTTTTTTTGTATTCTATTTTTTGGACAACTGTAAAACTATAGTACTATTTATATATAATTAGCTTCCACAGCTGACACTTAGATATAAGGTAGCGTTTGGTACATTACAATGCAATGTGATTACAGGTAATGTGATTGCAAGCAATGTGATTACAGGGAAAATAACATTACAGTGTTTGGTATGTAAGCAAAATAATGATTAAAATGCAGGGAAGATAACATTGCAGTGTTTGGTTTACAAGTACTTTAGTGGGAAGTAATGTTAATTGTCAAAATTACCCCTAATTATTAAAATATAAGTTTAATATATTTATATTTTTTATTATTAATTTTTATATAATATCATTTCTTAAATATATTTTTAATATCATATATTTTATTTTTATTTATTATTATAATATTTTATATTTTATTTTTAATATATTTATATTTTTATTATTAATTTTTATATAATATCATTTCTTAAATATATTTTTAATGTCATATATTTTATTTTTATTTATTATTGTAATATTTTATATTTTATTTTTAATATATTTATATTTATATTATTAATTTTTATATAATATCATATTTTAAATATATTTTTAATATTATATTTTATTTATTTATTATTATAATTTTATATATTTTATTTTTAATATATTTATATTTTTATTATTAATTTTTATATAATATCATTTCTAGACCTGTCAATATGGGCCGGGCCTGCCCAGCCCGACCTTAGCCCTTGTGGGCTGAAAAAATATGGGTCAGGCTGGGCCAGCCCATATTTTATATGGGCTACAAAATGTTCAGCCCAGCCCAGCCATTGCTAGCTCATGGGCTGGGCCGGGCTAGCCCATTTTTTTCAAAAAAAATTATTTCTACTACTCATCAATACAAGTATACAACTATACCATGATTTAGTCCATAAATTAAATAATAAAAACATATTACAAACAAATAAGCAAATACATTGCATCAAATATAAATAAAATTTTAAATTTTCAATATTTAACACAATTACACAAACTACAATCCCATCAATATAACTACATAAATACATAATCAAATATTCATAAACTTCAAGACTAAGTAATGTTTTTCTCAATCTTCATCCTCAATCAAAACATTTGAGTCTTCTTTGGACAACAATGATGTCTCCAAGTCCTGTCATTATCACTCAATATTCATTGTCATAGAAGAAATAGATATAATGAGTTTGAATTTTAACTAAAATTATTAATTTAACAAGAAAAGATTAAAGACATTGAGATATATAAAATAAACAATACCATCGGCGGTTAAAGAAAAGCCATGCAACCAATTTTTCGTGCAAACAAGCATTTGAACATTTTCATGGTGGAGGGAACTTCTAAACTTGGTGAGAACATGACCACCGATACTAAAAGCAGACTCTGATGCTACTGTAGTAATCGGAATGCTCAATACATCTCGTGCCATAACAGAAAGATCAGGAAAGCGCTTAGCATTGTCCCTCCAATAATTAAGCACATCTAAGTCTTCAAACACTTCATAATCAAGCTTTGCCTCATCTAAATAAACATCCAACTCAGACTTTCCAGCAATAGAAATTGTTTCATTTTGAAACAGTTTAAACTCCTACAATTTTTAAATACATAGACAAAAAAAAATTATCAAAACATAAATAAAGTAACATAAATTCTCACGTAATAAGATTAAGGAAAGATACAAAACTTACACTAAAGATCTTTGATCCCTTGGGTTTAGTTCCCCTTTCGACTTGCTTAGGCAAATTACTCATTGAGTGAGATGATGTACTTGATGCACATGTGTTGCTTGCATATTGTTCAAAGAGCTCGTACAACTTTGTCTTTACATTTTCTAACTTTCCATGACAAGTAGAAGCGTCAATCTTAGAATAGCAAAATTTTAAAAAATCAAGCTTCATCCTTGGGTCAAGAATAGCTCCAAATGCAAGCACTACGCTATAATCTTTCCAGTACTTGTCAAATTTCATTTTCATCCTTTGGGACATATCCTTGATAACCTCATCTCCATTATGCAAATTCTCATTTAAAATCGATTCAATTTTCCAAACTTGCATGAAATACAAATTAGAAGTTGGATAAGATGAACCAGATATCAAGTTTGTAGTCTCATAAAAGGGCTCCAAGAATTCACAAATTATCATTGCTCTCCCCCATTCCTCATCAGATGGATTATATTTATAAGTTCTATCAACAAATTGGAGGCTAGCAAAAGCTTTTTGATATTTGATTGCACTTTCAAGCATCAAATATGTTGAATTCCATCTAGTTGACACGTCTAAACGCAACCCAACACCTGCATCAATACCAACGTGTTGAACACATTCTTGAAACTTTTTCATCCTCCCATCCGATGCCTTTACATATTTCACACTCTCCCTAATTTTAAACAATGCTTCATTGACTACTTTCAAGCCCTCTTGAACAATAAGATTTAATATATGAGCACAACAACGCACATGAAAAAATTCACCATCACAAATCAAGCTATTTTGCAAATGAAGATGACCTTTCAAGATAACTTGCATGTTATCATTAGCAGAAGCATTATCTAGAGTAAGAGAGAAAACTTTTTTATCTATTCTCCATTCTTTCAAACAATCAAATATAGTGGCAGCTAATTCAACTCTAGTGTGTGGGGGAGGCATACGACAAAAGTTAAGTAACTTGCTACATAACTTTCAATTTTCATTGACAAAGTGAGCAGTCAAACAAATATAGCCCTCGGAAGTAGATGCTGTCTATACATCAGAAGTTAAACAAATTCTATTAGGTACCTTGGCCATGGCTTGTTTAAGTTTCTCTTTCTCTCTCAAATGAATTCTCTGAACATCAGATACAGCAATGTTTCTAGAATGCATGACTACATCTGGATTTACATACTTAGCCCAAGCTCTAATCTTATCATATTCAACAAAAGCATAAGGCAAATCATGCTTAATTATGGCTTCAGCAAGCATGTCACGTGAAATTCTAGGATCAAATTTTCTAGCCTTTAATTTCCCTTCATAATCCATAAGCATTTGATGTGGATTAAAATATGAAATGAATTTACATGTTTCAATGTGACGACGCAAATGTGAAGTGCCATAACTAGAGCCACCAGGTTTAGGGCCAACCTTATACTCCGTTTTACAACCATTACAAGTTGCCCTTTCTACTCCATCTTGCTTTTTGCCTATTTTAGTGAAATAATTCCAAACATTTGAAGTTTCTTTTTTTACCCTCTTACTCAATTGTTCAGACTCGAATACATGGGATTGGGAGGGAATTTCATCTTTATTCAAAATGTTCACATCATCATCAAAATTTGTACAATTTTCAACTGATTGATCCATCATCGTCACCTTCAAATAATATAAACATAATTTATTAAAAATTTACGCCAACAAAACAAACAACAATATTTATTGATTATTGTACAAAACTTGAGTTCTACATCAAGCATGATTTCACGCAGCAACAATAACAAAATTCAGAACTCTTGCACAAAACATCTTAATTCAATGAAATAACTGTTAGTCTGTTACAAATGTCGATATATTCTTTACCATAAAACTTCCATATGTCAGCAAGTCAGCACACACCACAAAAGTTGAAACAACTAAGAAAAAAAAGAAAAACAGATCGGAGTTTACCTGGGTTGCCGGAGGAAGCAGATCAAAAGAGGTGGGTCGAGTAGGCAGTCGATGGGGATTGGGGAGTGCCTGCGGCCCTACCCCCCCCTCCCACAGTCCCACGAGTCCCGATTCCCCCCTGCGGCCCTGCCCGCCCCCCTCCGGCTCCCACGAGTCCCGGTTCCCCCCTGCGGCCCTGCCGCCCCCTCAGGCTCCCACGAGTCCCGGTTCCCCCCTGCATCCCTGCCCGCCCCCCTCCGGCTCCCACGAGTCCGATTCCCCCCTGCGGCCCTACCCGCCCCCCTCCGGCTCCCACGAGTCTTTTGGGTGATTTGATTCCCGATTCCCCCCGCGCCCCTCCAGCCCCCAAACCACGACTTAATTTTTTTGGACCCGCCGGGCTGGCCCGTACCAACCCGGGTCAGCCCTCGGGCCTAAACGGGCTAGCCCGTTTAAGCTCGATTTTAATACGGGCTTAAATTTTTAAGCCCTGCCCGTCCCATATTTTAAAAAAAAATGGGCTGGCCCGACGGGCCAAGCCCATTTTGACAGGTCTAATCATTTCTTAAATATATTTTTAATGTCATATATTTTATTTTATTTATTATTATAATATTTTATATTTTATTTTAATATATTTATATTTATATTATTACTTTTTATATAATACATATTTTAAATATATTTTTAATGTCATATATTTTATTTTTATTTATTATTATAATTTTTATATTTTTATTTTATTTCTTTATATATTTTTTTATATTATATATTTTATTTTAATTTGTTTTACCTATATTATATAAATGTTAATTTTTATATTTTATTTTATTTTAATTTTTATTCTTATATTAATATTTTATTTTAATATTTTTATTTAATTATAATATTATAAAAATTTTAATAACGTAATAAAATTGAAGGATAAAATTATCTTTTAAGAACATTGCAGAGTGCAATGTAATATGATTGCATTGGTTTTGGACTGTAATCACATTACATCCATTGGCTGTAATGTGATTGCATTGCAATCTTACATTGCAGTGATCTGTTACAAAACAAACACTGCAATGTAATTTAATAAGCTACATTGCAAGTAATGTAAAGCAATGTACCAAACGGATCCTAACAGTCAACCATGAACCATGTATCAATTTATATTGAAACCAAAGCCATACTATTCATTAATGACGAAAGAAATTATGAAAATAATAAAAAACAAAATAATAAAACAAGTTCATCATTAACGACCAATCCCTCCTTCAACCCTTCATTCAGCTCCAAATACAAACTGTTTTGTCATCCCAAGGAACTTACAAACTTCACAAGATCATGCTCACCCAAACGCTGAAACCCAACACTAACGAAGTAGAACATACTAATCCCAATGAACCCGAGTTTTTCTCAGTGGAGCCGGCGCCGGAGCATCAACGTCCGATTGATATCGCTGGCCTTTGGTGACTCCACTGGAGGGTTAGTCTTAGGAACAGGAGATGGAGCTGGAGAAACTGGCGGTGTTGTTGGCACAGCAGATGAGGGAGATGGAGAAGGAGGCTGCTTTCTGGGGTTTGTGTCTCACAGCCAACACCACAACGATGAGCTTTTGGCCTTTGTTGCAGTTATCAGCATTGCCTCCGATGAAGAAGAAGGGACCTGAACGATCAAATGTAAAGATTGAATCACCCTCTGTCAGGGACTGTATTGGGTTACTGGTGTTGCACGAGTAGTAAGCTTCTCTTGTTACCAACAGCACCGAGTCTGACCCTTTCTTGTACTTAAAAACTGCAAAAAAAAAAAAAAAAAAGATTTCCGGGAACCAAATCAGATGATCAATTCTTAGCAGAAGTATATAGATAGAGAGAAAAGGGATGCTTACAGAGAGCGTCATTGACTTGGAATCTGTTCCTTTCAGCCCAATGATTGTACTTCTCAGAAGCGCTAACCACCCAACCATCTTTGCCACCAACGTAGAACTTGTAACCTTGAGTTGAGCTGAGGAAAGACAACACTGTCACAATCCACAGAAAACCAAGAAATCCCTTGGACCCCATTAGTCCGTAGTGCAATGAACTAACGAAGAAACCCACAGAACCAAACAGCTTTTGCCAGAGAGAAGAAAAACGAGGAAAATCTATAGACTACTAATGAAAATGATCAGTGAATTGAAGTGCATTGAAGTTGGGATTTGGTGGGGGGATATATAGGGGGAATCAAGGACGAAGTTAGCGTTGTAAAGCATGCAACGCACGGCGTGAAATTATTTGGCAACTTTGGCTGGATTTATGATTAATTGAGTACGTGTTAGTGAATTAGCCGAGCGTTTCATTGGGCGTCTTTATTTCTTAGCTACCTCAGCTTATACACGTGGCAACATGCAGTCGATTTAACGGTCATTGATATTTTATAAAGTTCTTGCTAGCTATGCTAAGACAAAATTAATGAGTAATTTAATTGGTCTGTTTATATCGTTACTATTTTTTTTATCTTTTTACTTGAAAATAAGGAAAACGCAAGGCAAGTTTTTTTTTTTTCTATTTAAAGTATACTCTCTCTCTCTCTCTCTCTATATGTATATATATATATATATATATATTTGTAACTTTATCGGACGTTATGGTATGGAAGATGCCAAATATTTACCTGGGAACAGCTAATCTATAGTTAGACCTGTTCAAATTAAAATATTAAAGGTGAATAAATGTTTTCCATTATTTGATCAGTTTCCGAAGATATGAGGAGTTTTCAAGTTGGATAGAATGAAGGAATTCTTCCTATCTGAAAGTGAATTTATTAAATAATTTCATTGAATTAATATTTTTTATTTTTTTATAAAAGAATGAATAAAAAATATAACAAAATATCAATCAAATAGAGTCTAATTTAATCAGTTTAATTTCAAAGTCGCAATCTCATGTTTGCTAATATATATGCTTAATGTAGGATTTCGGTATTTTTTTTCATCACTTTCTCTTTGTGGTAGATATATCAAATTATTGTGTTCATGACTTTTTACAATGCAGTTGAATTTGTTAGGTAACTGGAAATACGTTTCAATCTTCCAAAATTTATATACTAGAAAAGTTCGTGATTGCAATAAATGGGTGAAATGAGAGAAATTTATGCATTTATGTTTGATGTTTGTTGAAGTTTTTGATTTTACCCTACTTTTTTTTACAAGGCTTTTTAAATTATTTAAAAAATTTTGAATAAATATTTTTATTATCTTTAATAAAATTTTTATATTTTTATTTTAAACTAAATAAATCTTTATTATAAATGATCGATTTAATTAAAATACTATTTATTATTATATATTTCATGTCGTTGGCATACTATGTTAACACATTGTAATTGATAATGATATGACATATTGACATATCATAATTGATAGTAACATAATATATTAATTTGATATAATAACATGAACATATGATATTTTTTATCCTCCTCGTCAATATCAGTTTAACTATTCAACTAATTGTACTTAGTTAATTATTAGTCATAAATATTCATTTAATTTAAAATAAAAGTATAAACACTTGATTGAATATAATAAAAAATTAAAAATTTATTTAAATTTTTTTAAATAATTTAAGAACTTTTTCAAACATATCCAATAATTTAAGATATAACATTTTGATTATTAACCATCTAATAAACACTAATTGTGAAAATAAAAATAGATAAATTTACAAGTAAATAAGAAAATTGGTAATATATTTAAAAATATTAAATGTAATCAATTATTAATAATAAAGATTTATTTGGTTCAAACTTAAAATACATGAACTTAACGTTTTTAGATATTATGTCTAAGTTTTTATTTTCTTACTGTATTAAATAAAATTTATATATATATTTTTTAAATTAAATAAAATTTTATTAATAATAATTATTTAAATTTAAATAAAATTTTATTTATTGTTTTATATAATATAATATTAATAAAATATATTAATATATATTATTAAATAATATAATATATTAATATAAGATGATAACATTGTGACAATATTTCTTGAAAATTGTTTTAATGGAGTACTGGCTGATGCAGGTGGTAGTTTATAATTTGTTCTTCTGAAGAACATATTAGGCGGTTACGGTTACCGTCGGTTGGGTGCCAATATTTATTGAAATTATTATTATTATTATTATTTCTATGTCGTTAAAATTCAAGATCTCTGAGAAAACGATTTCCGAAAAATGTAGTCACCCGCCCAAAAAATTTCCTAATGTCATTATTGCACACTTTTAAAGAAACCCTAAAACCCTGCAAAAACCTTTCTTCTTCTTCTTCATCATTTTCACAATCTTCGTTATCCCAAGAAGAACCTGAGTCGACAATAACAAACCAGAGAAAACCCCCCAAATCCTCGCTTTCGCAGCAGCTTCTACGCCTTGAACAAGAATATTTCCCTTCAACCCAAGAATCCCATTTCCAAATCCCTAAATTCTCACAGACCCAAGTCCAAGAAAATGGTGATAATCAAGAAGAAGAAGAAGGGAAAGAAGATGAGGAAGAAGAAGAAGAAGTAAAGGAATTTGGGAGACCCGAATTGGATCGGGTTCAATTTGAAGATACGGGTCCTTATGAGCCATTGGTATTGTCTTCTGATGGAGAATTTCCACTTGTACAGGTCATTATTTTATAATTTAATTTCTTTTGTGTTTTGACATTTGTTGCAGTAATTTACAGTTTTTAATTTCTTGCTTAATTGGTTGATTGTGACAGGTGCCTGCATCTATTAACTGTCGGTTGCTTGGCCATCAAAGAGAGGGAGTCAAGTTTTTATACATGTTATACAAGAGCAACCATGGGGGCGTTCTTGGTGATGACATGTGAGTACCTTTCTTATCCCAACAATCTTTATCACTCTTTATGTTAGTATTGTTGCGTTGTATATTTTGTTTATCTCCATAGATTACTTGTTGTTGGTTTGTTCCTGGCCAGAATGCTCTTGCTTTTCAATTGAGTGGAGTGATTTTCATATTTATTATCAGTAGCTTATAGCTTCAATAATGGAACCCAATATCTGTTCATATGATTCTGGCTTTAAGTCAGACTTACAGTAAGTTTCTTGTTTTATGTCAGTTTTACATTCTTCTCTCTGATGTCTTCTTACAAAATATGATGTAGTATGTTACAAAGAATATGCTCATGCTTGTGTCATGAATGGGCTTTCTAGCAAGAACAATGAAATAAACATTCTTTGCAGAGAAATTTAATTAGTGAGAACTTAGAACACTTGTTGACCACCTCGGGGTCCTTCAATTATATATGACGGCATGGCTTTTTAATTTTTCCACACAAGTTTTCTGGTTGTGATTCTTCTTGCTGTTTTATTTTTATTTTTACTTATTAAAAACTGTGTGTTGGGTGAGCCTTATATTGTGCGTATTTGTTTAGGAGCACCTTCTTTCAGAAGGACTAATGTCTTGTTTTTCACTTTTTCTAAAAATTAATGTAGGGGACTAGGGAAGACAATACAGACAATCGCATTTCTCGCTGCTGTATATGGAAAAGATGAGGAATATGGTGACTCCAGAATATTGATGGAAAACCAGGTTGGAAAGAAAGGCCCTATATTAATAATCTGTCCAACTTCTGTCATCCACAATTGGGAGTGTGAATTCTCCAGATGGGCAACATTTAGTGTTTCTGTTTACCATGGTTCGAGCCGTGAATTGATTCTTGAGAAGCTACAAGCCAATGGAGTTGAGGTTCTGGTTACCAGTTTTGACACATTCAGAATTCATGGCAATGTTTTGTTAGAGATCAAATGGGAGATTGTGATCATTGATGAAGCACACCGTCTAAAGAATGAAAAATCAAAACTCTATATGGCATGTTTAGAAATTAAGACTCGCAGACGTATTGGTCTTACAGGAACCATCATGCAGAACAAAATTATGGAACTCTTCAACCTCTTTGACTTGGTTGCTCCTGGATCCTTGGGAACAAGGGAACATTTTCGGGAGTTTTATGATGAACCCCTCAAGCATGGCCAAAGGTCAACTGCTCCTGAGAGATTTGTTTGGGTCGCTGGTCAGCGTAAACAGCACCTGGTAGCAGTTCTTCGTAAATATATGCTAAGAAGGACGAAAGAGGAGACTATTGGACATCTTATGTTGGGAAAGGAAGATAATGTTGTTTTTTGCGCAATGAGTGAATTGCAAAGGCGGGTTTATAGGAGAATGTTACAACTGCCAGACATCCAATGTCTTATAAACAAGGACCTGCGCTGTAGCTGTGGAAGCCCTCTTACACAAGCAGAATGTTGTAAGAGGATTGTGCCTGATGGAATTATCTGGCCTTACCTTCACAGGGATAGCCTAGAAGGTTGTGACTCATGCCCTTTTTGCCTTGTCCTTCCATGCCTGGTCAAGCTGCAACAGGTCAAGGATTCCCTTTTTCATTTTAACTATCTATTTTTATGTGAAAAATCTTAGGTTCATTTAGAAAAATCTCGTACTCGAATGTTTCGAAAGGAGGACATTTGCTACATATGGACTTGGAAAATATTTCTAAGTACTTGGTAGGTTTTTGGCTTATATACTAAAAAAGCCCTTGAACTATTTCACGTTATGCAGAAAAGCCCTAATTCTTTTATTGTACCCAAAAAAGCTTTATTTTTTGATTTGTACTTACACAAGCTCATAACGTTATCTAACCCTGAATAGAAAATTAATAGCTGTCAGATGCAATGTCAGTTGGCATTTTTGTCCATGTGGCATATGATCTTGCCACATGACAACTGATATGGAATGGGAAAAAATCCTGCCCATTCCACATTAGTTACCATGTGGACAAAAAATGCTAGCTGGCATTGAGTCAGCTGTTAATTTTTCATTGGGGTTAAGGGCTTGTATGGGTAATAAGGCTTTCTTTGGTTAAAATAAAAGAATAAGGGCTTTTTTGCATAAAGTAAAATAGTTCAGGGACTTTTTAAGTATTTAAGCTTAGTTTTTTTTGAAGTAAGAGGTAAAAGCAAAGCTTATTATCTTGTTATGAGGCATGGCATAAAGATTAAGGTGTCAAATAGGAGAAAATATTTAATTTTGGCATAATACTTAAAAATGCTTCTAAACTATTCAGAAAATTCAAATAAATCTTTATTCTTTTATTACGTTCAATCAAGCCCTTATACTTTTATTTTAAACCAAATAGGCCTGTATGACTATTGGTTGATTAACTGTTGTTAGTCAAAATGATACTTGTCAGTTTATGTCATGTGATATTGATGAGGTATGCTGACATGTCATGTTGGATAATAATGTAACATGTTGATGTGACATGATCACATGATCACATGACATTTTAACCTTCTACATCAACGTCATGTCACCATGATATTGACATGACATGCTGACATGTTATAGTGGTTGATAACATGATATGCTGATGTGGCATGACAACATGGTCACGTGGCATTTTCACCTTCCATGTTAATGTTATGTTAGCACTATGTGGATATAAAATGACAAGCGTCTTTATGATTAATGGCAGCTAGTTAACCGTTAATCATAAGGACCTATTTGATCCAAATAAATATATATGAATTTAATTGAGCGTAATAGAAGAATAAGAACTTATTTAAATTTTCTTAAATAGTTTAGGGGTTTTTTAAGCATTATGTCTTTAATTTTGTTAATTATCATTTCAATATAAGAAATGTTTGCTGAAAGGTGGAAAAAATATGTTGATTGATGTATATGTATGTAGATTCTTACAATTTATGCATAGTGTTCAAAGATTTGCTTGCTGATACATCAGTGCAATTCAGGAACTGTTTGACTAAAATATCATACTTGGTCTCTTTAAAGATGCCATTTCATTCAAATTCCATCAAATCTTTGCCAACTTTAGGAAATTATATCTCTAACAGGCATGTCATTGATTCAGTCTGCATCACGCCATTCCTATTTTTATGTTGACTTGAAATTCAAAACCATGAGCCTTACATTCTTCAAAGCATATGATGAGTGATCATTTCTGAAAGACTTTTTTGTGGCGCATTGGATTGTAACTTTACCTATTTAGTATGCGTGAGTCTGATGTGGAATCCTTATTTATCCTGAGCATTTTTCATTAAAGAGAGTATAGTTTTCTACATAAATTTTGAACATGAGTGTTGTTGCATGATTCTGGATGTGTCTCATGCTTACCTTTGGATCTTTACTGCAGATAAGCAGTCACTTGGAGCTTATTAAGCCTAACCCTAGGGATGAACTTGATAAACAAAAGAAAGATGCAGAATTTGCCTCTGCTGTCTTTGGTCCTGATATTGATATGGTGGGAGGGAATGCTCCAAGTGAGAGCTTTATGGGCTTAAGTGACACTAGACATTGTGGCAAGATGCGGGCCTTGGATAAGTTAATGGCCTCTTGGGCTTTAAAGGGTGACAAAATTCTTCTCTTTAGCTACTCTGTCAGGTGATGATCTAATTCACACTTAACTGCTTATGTACTATTCCATGTATTGAATTGTCAGATTACTAGACCTTAACACCTGGACATCTATGGCCATTTCGTTTGTTTTACTCAGGATACTAGCCAAGTTCAGAAAATTGTGAAATATTTTCAGATTGGCCAAAATCATTGTGTTTATGTATGTATGTCCCAATGACCATTTTTTTTTTTCACTCCAGATTTTTCTTGAGGAGAAACTATTACGGAAAATGTTTTCCCAACCAATATGTGGAAAATAATTGTTTTGAACGGTTATTGCAATAATTTGTCTTTACTCCATTTTTATTTAAAATTCGAATGAAGATCACTAGTCAAAATTGTTTCATGTGCCAATTTTGTGAAAAGTTGCACAGACTAGAAACTCTAATGTACTATTAGCATTTGATCTTCCAAAACTGAGAGGGCGTCTAAATTTACATTTATAATAATTTAATTTTCAGTGGGAATAGGCTGAAAGAATAGGTTGTATTTTACATGAAGCTTGTGGTCATTTTCATTTGTTGAAGGGGATCTTTTTCTTTATTTCAAGTTTTTGGGGGTACGAGTACACTTTCATAGCAACGCTTGTTCATATAGTCTAGAACTAGGTTTTTGAACATTTGAATTTATCATATGTATCCAGTCTGTCGCACGGATCAATCTCTTCCATTTCTGCTCATTATATCAAACAACAATTTTCAGGATGCTTGATATATTGGAGAAGTTTCTTATACGGAAAGGTTATTGCTTTTCAAGACTTGATGGCTCTACTCCAACCAACATGCGCCAGTCTCTTGTTGATGAGTTTAACTCAAGTCCAAGCAAACAAGTATGTTTCTGCTTAAGCTGAACAGAGTATATAGTAGACTTGCAATTTGGATTTTCATTACATTTTGTTTCTTTATTTTGGTGTCAGGTGTTCCTCATATCAACTCGAGCTGGTGGGCTGGGATTGAATCTTGTGGGTGCTAATCGTGTGGTTATATTTGATCCAAACTGGAACCCAGCCCAAGATTTACAGGCCCAGGACAGATCATTTCGTTTTGGACAGAGGCGGCATGTTGTGGTTTTCCGCCTTCTTGCAGCTGGTTCCCTTGAAGAACTTGTATATTCACGTCAGGTGTATAAACAGCAGCTATCAAACATTGCTGTCTCTGGGAAAATGGAAAAACGATACTTTGAAGGCGTGCAGGTATAGATATGAGATATTTTTGCGGGCTAAACTACACTCCCAGTAATTTGACCATGTTTTAAACAATGTTGTAATGTCAACCACATCATTAGAATCCATTTGATAAACTAATTGAAGCATATGCTGAAGTTGTGACTCAATTTTAGATGTAAAATGGTCTCACTCATCCTTTCAAGTTGGAGTTTCCAGTGTTCCATTTGACATCCATCTTATTTTCAGGATTGCAAGGAATTTCAAGGTGAGCTTTTTGGAATCTGCAATCTGTTTCGGGATCTTTCGGATAAACTTTTTACAAGTGAAATACTTGAATTACATGAGAAACAAGGGCAACAGAATGCTGAACCCCATACTGATAAGCAGGAATTGACCGATATAGGGCTCCATTTGATTCTGTCAGAAGGAAGTGAAAAATTGTCCTCAGGGTCCAAGAATTCGCATTCCACTTACATAGAGGGGGCTACTAATGATAAACCAGTCCTTAAAGACTTGGGTATGTTCATTTTACTTCCATACTTTTCCGTCTTTTATTTCTGTTTACTTTAGTAAATGGCCTAAAGTTTCATTAATATTTTATCATTCTTTAACATAGTATAGATTTGAGAAAGAAAATGTGTTATTGTATGTTACTCCAATAAAGCTTACATGCATGGCCATTTAAGATTGTATCTGACAATGTGCATTTCACAGGAATTTGGCATCAACTAAGATGATAAGAAATGGAGATGGAGAAAGAGAGAATGTCTTTAACAAAGTAACTGACTCTTGAAAATCTCGTACTCTTTATCTTCAGGTATCTTGTATGCCCATCGCAATGAAGACATTGTCAACAGTGGACCTGGGATTCAACAGAAAAAGGAAGTAGTTGTCACTAAGGATGATAACCTGAAAAGAGATTCCAATTATTCATGGAAGAGGAAATCAGATGGAGAGGAAAATGTTCTCTCATCCAGGGATCGTAAGAAGATTCAATACGGTCGCCTAGCAAAGTTCAAGGGAATGGGAGTGGTTGAATTCAGTAGGTGGGTACTCTTTGCTACTCCTTCAGAGAGGGAGAGCCTGCTTATGGATTATAAAAGAAGAAAAAAGCTCTAATGGTTGAACAGAGTGTTGGGAAGTCCACTCACAGACTTGTAAGAAAACAGATTGAACTATTTATTTCTTTTTAACTCCTTGTTGCATAGTATATCCAAAGTGTTTAGAATTAGAATGTACATATGAACAGTAGGGCTAGTTTCAGTGTGAAAATAGTGGCCAATAAGAGTATAAATGTGTATTATTACAGTCAATTATTGTTACTTTCCCTCGATTTTCCTTTGGTTTTTTGTTCCTAGGGTCGTTGTTTTAGGATGTAAGCAACATAAAACTAGTTTCTGAAATGTCAATGGTTAGAACAACAAAATCTTCCTAGTATGGAATCTAAATTAAGTTGTTAAACTACTTGCGTGTCCAAAACTGAGAGTGCTGAGAGCATGGTGTTAACTTGTAACAAACTAATAATGTTGGATGGGTATATCATTCCATGGTTGCACTGTGCAGATTTTTAATACTAGCTTCTATTGCTCTAACCTCCAAGTACAATAATAGAAAAAAAGGCACAGCCCTTGCATTTCCTGGTATTTTAGCATGCAATGAAAGCAATTGTCTCTAGATCTAAACTAAACTTTTATCCCACAACTTGGATTTGGAATTAGTTATGGAATGAGTATATTATACCGTGAGTCTGTAACAGAATGCCATGTCATATTCATGAGTGAAAAAACTAGGATTTGACATTCTATTCTCATACAAGTGCCTTAGCTGCTGCTCAGAGGTTACATTTCATACATTTCCATGTTTCTTAGCCACAAGAAACTACTTTCTTTGCATTTTGAATCTGGACACTGGCTTTGAAGGTTGAGAACTATAAATCTGCAGAGGACAAAAATATTGCAATTAAGATTAGAATTCAATTAACATACTACTTAATATATTGGCAGCAGTAATAAATTTTCTCCAAATTGTGAGCATGCTCTACCATGGAGCCTATAAAAGCCTGCACATAATAGAGAGTACATCATGATGCATAAAGGCACATAAACAACTCGCTTTATGAATACCTCTTTTTTATTAACAAAAAAGGTAAACGAGTAAAGAAGGAATACAAGGATTTAAATCTCTTCCAGCTAACAGATTAATTAAATCTTGATGATAATATTTATTAAACATCTCTTCTTTCACAAGTATCCGGAGAAATCATTCATTTATTGTATTTAACGTGCAAAAAGCATCGAGTTCTAACATTACCTCTGAATATCTTTGATCATGATCATAAGAACTGTAACCTTCATCCTGTTTTCTGTCAAAAACAGCTTTAGTTTGTTCCTCTTCATCACCATCACTTTGAGCCTGAACTTCAGAAAAGTAACCAATAACCATTTTATTGTAATCAAGTAAGAATAAATGTAACTAACATCTGATAGTAGGCTGCATGATAACAAGTACATTGGCCAAAACAAAAAAATCTAGAAAGATAGGATCGAGCAAGACAGAAATGCAATGTGTTAAAGAGACGGTTGGATGCCAACTGTGTTAAAGAAATATTGCAAGCAACTGAAATTCCAATTACTCTGTCTAAAATCATAGTTCAGAATCAGCTGGTTACCATTTTCATCTTTAGTAAATCAAATAAGGTCCAAAGTTTCCATACCATGCTACTCAGGCAACACCCTGCCTGATTGAGATACCCTTTCGGTAGAATAATCATCCTCTACAAGACCCTCCTGTAACAATAAAATGATAGTAATAGGTGAGGACTAGCTACGAAAGATAATCCGCTTTAGGCTCCAATGCTTAAATCTTACTGCTACTTCAGAAGCGGTGGAATAAAAAAAGCAAGCCTCAGCTCTAAGATCCCGCATGACGGGCTTCAATGAATCTACTTTAGACTCCAATGACTTCCCTCTTCTCTTTAGAATATCAACAGCTTGATTAGCTGTTCTTTCCGTATAGTGATTTTCTCCCAGTGGAACCTGCAATTAGTTTGTATTCTGAAACGAAAATGCCGAACTTTTTTAACTAAAAAATTAAGCTCCTAATTTTAGCTTAAAAGTAGGATACCAATAACTCCTTGGTGTGAATCAAACCAACAGACAAAAAACGCCGCTTTTACCCCAAAAAAGAAACAGGACTTATCGACGACGATTTCTCTCAGTTGATTCATTTCATTTTGCTACTCTAAAAGCGTCTCCACCGCCCGCTTCGCCGCCTTTTGCACCTCTTTCGTCGGGGAAATCGAGGAGGACGATGACTTCTGTTTTTTCCATTTTTAAATGTAAAAAATTTTTGTCAACTGTGATAGCTGAAGGGAGTGCGCTAGCGACTGCGACCATGTCGTGTTCTTTCCCTTTGGACTTCTTTAGAGAAGAGGAGTTCAGATGTCTAAAACGCAGCCGTTTGAACCTTTCTTCTTGGTCATTTCACACTGTTTTCAATCGTTGACCGATTTTTCTTTTTCATATATTCGGTAAATGTATCAAGAAATACCATAAATTATAATTGCATTGAAATAGTGTAGTTAGATAGTATAAATACCATAAAATTGATGTTGAGAATTATTCATTAATTCACTTTTTATTAATTTATTTCCATTGATCGTCATTACTTCATTATTTGAAAATAATATCATAATTTTGAATTTTAAACCAAAATAATGGGTTACGCATTATCTATAGGACAATTATATTACCTATATCTTGCAGCAAACATAGCCAACAAAAAAAAAGGAAAAAAGAAAAATAGAACAAAAAATAATTCAAAAGTTTTGCATAATGTCTTCTTCATTTACATTCGATAACGTAAACTTCACAAATGAAGAATCAGAATCTCAGAATATGGAGAAGTGGCTTCATGGATATGTACAAAGAAATGCTCATAATATTTGCAAAGAAAGGAAAAAGAATGGCTGGCCGCTAAATAGACTCCATCGCATATTATATATTTTGTTTTTGGTACGTATCAAATATTTTAATTGCGCTACCCACCAACATTAAATCATTTAAACACAACGACATTAAACTAAGGACCAAAGCCAAGTTGACTCTCTTTTTCATTGGTACGTGATCGCAACTCTCCAACCAACGCGTATCCTAACCAACAAAACCCAGAGGCTAGAGTGTCTCTCTCTCTCTCTCTCTCTCTCTCTCTCTG